AGACTTTACTGAGATGAAGCTATTTTTCACCTGTTTTTGTTTTTTGTCAATATGACATTTTAACTCATTTATGCCTAGTGTTACATTATTGGAATGGTAAGTTTGTGGGAGTTATTTATATCCTGTTGATCAAGGTCATCACCAAAGTCTGATTTTTCGCAAAAGAAATTGCAACTTCCAGCATAAATAGGTTAAGATCAGCATGTCAGATACATTATTTAGTTTTAAATGAGTTCAAAAACCCAAGTTTACTTTACTGTGGGGCACATTTACCTGTTGATGGTAACTACTGTTGAAAATAGGTTACAAAATAGTATATAATCATAATTCTTGACTATATTCAAAACCAGATTGTTTATCTTTTTTGAGAATTACTTTTCTACTCACTGAAACAAACTTCTCCAAGAGGATTTTTGAGTTTTTCATTAGAAGTAAATTTTTGTCTGTAGTTTCAGCAGTGATACATTTAGATAACATATTTTACTTTCAAGAGACAATGTGTTAACCCTTGTGGTAGACAGAAAAACTTAGCTTGTTTTTAAAACAATGGTAAATCTGTCTTTGAATGTAGTATTTGTGCTGCTGAACTACATAATGTTTTCTTTGTGGGATCATCGTTTTGGAATTGATCATGAATTGATTAAAGACCTTGCATAATTCCATGCCTTTTATAACATTGCTTTTGCCTTTTCTGGGTATAATATCTAATTCATTTCTTATGGTATTGAATTTTTTTAATAATAGTAATAATTTTTTACTGCATGTGCAGTAATTTAAAGGGAAGTTTTAACCTCTTGAAAGTTATTTTTCTTATTTAATGACATTTTCAAAAACTAAAAATGATTATTTATGGGTTTATTTTTCATGTCCACAATGTTTTACACTTGTTAAAAGATAACTCATTTATTGTAACTTTTTTTTCTTTGAGACGGAGTTTTGCTCTTGTCACCCAGGCCAGAGTGCAATGACGCTATCTCAGCTCACTGCAACCTACGCCTCCTGGCTTCAAGCCATTCTCCTGCCTCAGCCTCCCAAGTAGTAGCTCAGATTACAAGCATGCACTGCCACTCCCAGATAATTTTTGTAGTTTTGGTGGAGTCGGAGTTTGACAATGTTGGCCAGGCTGGTTTAAACTACTGACCTCAAGTGATCTGACCGCCCCTGCCTCCCAAAGTGCTGGAATTACAGGCGTGAGCCACTGTGCCTGGCTGCAACTTTTAAAAGATAAAGAAATACATGTCAGCACATAGGAACTTTAAAAAATAATCCTTCTAAAAAATATAGGCAGGCCAGGCATGGTGGCTCATGCCTGTAATCCCAGCACTTTGGGAGGTCGAGGTGGGCGGATCACAAGGTCAAGAGATCGAGACCACCGTGAACAACATGGTGAAACCTCATCTTTACTAATAATACAAAAATTAGCGGGGCATGGTGGAGCACGCCTATAGTCCCAGCTACTTGGGATGCTGAGGCAGGAGAATTGCTTGAACCTGTGAGGCAGAGGTTGCAGTAATCCAAGATCACGCCCCTGCACTCCAGCCTGGCAACAGAGCAGGACTCTGTCTCAAAAAAAAAAAAACAAAAACGACAATATATTTTAAAATATAATATTTGAAATAAAAATGTAACATAACCAGCATCATAAAATAGAACAAGATTGTCCTTTTGGAGCCTAGAAAATAATTAAGAGTCTTATTTTTGTCACTGTCACTATCCTAATGGTTCAGAAGCAGTAAGTAGAAGTACCACAGGTTATTATTAATTTATTTATTTTGCTTAAGAACTTAAATTTTCCTTTGGGGCATTTATTTTCTTTTTAAAAAATAATAAGACCATAAGTTTCAAAGGTTTGGCTAAAGGATAATATTTTGCAGAAAATCAATATGGCATATCTACAAACCAAGCACTATATATATTTGTAATACTGGTTTTTCTACTTTATTTCTTTATATAAAAGATAGGGTCTGATTAAATTCACTGGCCTATTTAATATTAAATATGTTTAAAAATGGAGGAGGAAAATAGCCACTGAACTGAGGAAAAGGGGCCCCTCGTTTTCTCTTGAATTTGATTTATTCCAAACAACACAAAACTTGGGGGTAGACTACTGATACTGAGAATATGTTTCTTCTCCTTTCCTTACTCAATCTGTTCCCGTTTCCCTTTAAACACACACACACACACACACACACACACACACACACACACGCACACTGATCTCCCTCTCCTAGGACACAGATGTTTGGAAACTGCTCACACATCACACAGAGTGATCATTTTCAAGTCGGGAACTGCCTCTCAGATTCTGAGTGATATAGCTCTCTCCAGTTGCTGAAACAAATGAAAAAGCACATAAGTGGAATGTTCTTTTGAAAATTTAGTGTATTGTTCCAAGATATATATACATTGTTGCATCTGGATTAATACACACTGAAGAAACGAGCAATAGCTTCTGATAAACCTAATTTGGAACAGTATGCAAGCTCCTTTATAAAATTAATTATATTATTGAAAATTTGGAAAGTATAGAAAGCTATGAAGAGGAAAAAAAATCCCCAAAATGCCAAATAAAGATACATTTGGAGTAGTTTACTGTACCATAGTGGTTAAGGGAAAGCAATCCAGGAGCCAGCTAACGCATGAATTCTGGCTCTACCACTTTGTGACTTTGGGCAAGTTATTCACTTAACCTGTGTCTCCATTTTCTCATCTGTAAAATAGGCAAAATAATATAATTTGCTTCTTAGGTTGTATATTTTAGAACTCTGTTTCCATAGGAAATTTCTGTTAGAATTTTTCTTTTTCTTCTTTTCTTTTTTTAAATGCTTGTTGACAACCCTTTCGAGCTCTACTGGATTTTGGTGTGCTTCTGTTAGTTGTAAGGAAATAATGGAAATTGAATGATGTCAACTGCCTGCAGTAGTATTTTGAATTACATAGTACATATATATATATATACATGTCTTTGTATCAGTGGTATGCCAAAGAGTGATTGTGCCATAAGATCTATGGTTTTCCTAAATAGATTTTATAAAAACAGTAGCCCACAGTTGTCAAATGTTCTTTAAAACTAAGGCAAAAACAAATGCCTAATGACCGTCATTTCTACTGAAACTGAGGGTTATCTGCATTATATGAGAAAAATGGGCTTCTGTGTTAGTTGTGACAGCACATTAGCTTAATAGGAAATCCATAAGCCTAATAGATAAGTATGTGTGTGTGTTTATGTATATATATAATTATGTATGTGAATATATATAAAAATATATGTATGTGTATATAAATAAATATTAAATATATATTTAAAACCACTGAAGAAAATGAGTTTGTTTAAATTCCATTTTTAAGTGAGGAATTCTAATATCACAGGCATGTCCTTGGCTCTATGAGCACATTAAGAGGTAGTATCCAGTAATATCTAACACTATCCCAAAATACTTTTAGTTGCTTTTCATTGTTTATTAATTAATTTTTATAGAAATAGAAGTGTTGCTTTTGTTCTTGTAGTATAATCTTTTTCATATGATGAAGTAAAAGTAGGAAAGGATTTCCTTGTATTTTCCCATTTGGATTTTGCTTATTTTTCTTTGACCTGTGGTCTTATTCACATGAAAGCCTGAGTTTCTCAACTCAATATCAGGAGACTGATATTTGATTTTTGCCTACTCCTTATAATACTTCCTCCTAGCCAATTGCCATTCCAGAAAAAAAAAAAAAATGCAGTCTACTAAGTCATCTTAGTGAGAAGAGCAAAGTAAAACTCTAATGCTTAACCGGAAGTTTTAAAAATATTTTGTGGCCATCATAATTGTTACTTGTTTGACATGGCCCTTTCTAAACACTTGTAAGTACTTTGCTGACTATCTGAATTAATGCTTCTTTATCAGAGAGCAGAAGTGTGTATGTTATGTGTGTCTGTGTATTGTGCTGGCATCCCGTCTTTATAAAAATGAAATTAAATACAATTTTAATGGCATTTCTGAATAAGTGGGTGACTTTGGTGTTTGTCATTCAAATTATAAACAATGGTTTCCTTTTTAAATATGAATTCTAAAAAGAATGCAGTGGGAAGACCCACATATCAGAATGCCAGTCTTGTTTATGGGAAAACCTGAAAAGACACTGTTTATGATTAGAAGAAGCTGAGTTTATGATCATCTGGTGTTCAAAAGAGGAAACACACTAACAGCTTGGTGTAACCTGAGTTAGTTTGCTTTGAGATGTGTTTTCTGCTTGGAAGAGGAGAGTATGGGTATTAACAGGGTGGCTTGTTCATTAATTTATTTGATAAGGAATAAAATTGATATGCAAGTTTTTTGTTTTTTTTGTGTATTTAAGATGGAGTTTTGCTCTTGTCCCACTGGAAAGCAATAGTGCGATCTTGGCTCACTGCAGCCTCCTTCTCCCAGGTTCAAGCAATTCTCCTGCCTCAGCCTCCCAAGTAGCTGAGATTACAGGTGCCTCCCCACCACGCATGGCTAATTTTTGTATTTTTAGTAGAGACAGAGTTTCACCGTGTTGGCCAAGCTGGTTTTAATCTCCTCACCTCAGGTGATCCACCTGCCCCGGCCTCCCAAAGTGCTGGGATTACAGGCGTGAGCCACCGCATCCGGATGTAATTTTTAATTATATACCACTACCTTATTTTTGTGCCCATTGATTTTAAAAAAGATCATGCATTTATGGTTTCAGGATTTCTTAAAGACCAGCATATTGAATTGTATACCCGTACCAAAGTCAGAATCCCATAATATTACTTTTTTATGAGATGTTGGGGCGGGGAAACATTATCTGCATTTTTCAAAATTCAGAAAGTATACTATTTGGTTGATTTGTAACTAGGAAAGAAAAATCTCACAGCCTTTTAGAAACACAATATTTGTTGATATTGAATTTTGAAACTATCATAGATGTAGCTTTACTTATCCCTGTTTTCAGACCATTTATTTATTCAACAGATACTTAGTAAGCACTTAGTATGTGGCAGACAGTATACTTACTGTTGCAGATACAGCAGCGAACAAGGCAGGTATAGTCTCTGCCACCACTCAGATTCTGAGTGACACAGCTCTCTCCAGTTGCTGAAACAAATGAAAAAAGCACATAAGTAGAATGTCCTTTTGAAAATTCAGTATACTTTTCCAATAATATATACAGGGTAAGGGTAGGGTGGCAGCAGGGACTTTGTCTTATTTCCCACTTATCCCCAGAGTTTAGGAAAATGCCTGACATTAGTCAGTACTTAGCAAATGGTGGATGGATGGATGGATGGATGGATGCATGGATGGATGGATGGATATATTTCACTCATCAAACCTTTTTAAAGTATTTAGACTTAGGAGGACTTTAGCATAACTTAAGGACAGGAGCCATAGGATATCTATTTTCTGACGCCAGAGCCTAGCACTGTGTATGTTATGTGCTGAAATAAGAACATTAAGGAATTCATCTCCATCTTGTGCAGTTTCAAGTAACTTACTGAAGCCAATAGAATTAAAAGCCAAGGAAAGATAGTCCTTTCATCATTTACCCAGTTAGGACCTGCTTCTACAGGTGGGATCGTGGTCAGTAGAAGTTGCTTCTCAGAGTAATTTCTACTTAACCTTCAATGTCTATGAACCTAATGCCATGTGCTGTGGTGCCATGGCCAAGGAAACGCAGCTTTTGGGATAGAGACTGAAATGACTGATAAAATTTTAATCTTCTCCTGCAGCATGAGTGAGTTCTCCAAGAAGCTGGAGAAGCACGAGTAAATGCTGCATTATTTAGCCATGAGCTCAAGCTAGAAAGTGGCTGAAATTCATGTCTGTGCAGTGAATTGGCTTATTGGCTAGGAATAGTCTCTTAGGGTTTGATGGAGTTTTGAACTGATGGATTAGATCACACAATTTGACCACTCAACTCAGCACCAAGCCTGTTCATTTTGGATAAGTGAGGCCACTTTAGCCATTTTATTTCTACAAATAATCACTATGTTATAATTATTTGGTTTTACATTTCTCCCCTGTATAAAGAGTTGGGTAGCATTGTCTTGACTAATCCATATTATGTGGTCCTTACCCAGCACTAAACTTAATAAATGTTTGTATTATGTTGAAATACACAAAAATGCTGTGTTTTTAAGTGAAAAAATAGTCAAATACCAGCATTGAACAAACGAATAATAAGAAAAATTCAAGCAGTGAATGAGTTGTTGGACTAGATGATTTTAAAGATCACTTCCGGTACTGGGATTCCATAACCTTATAATTCAAACATAAATAACATCATCAATAATTCCAGTACTTAGTTACCAACTTATTTAAACCATGATCCTCATATTATACACAAACATAGCACCCTGTTCTTGTCCTTCTTGGAACTTATCACAATGATTTAGCTATTTTTTATACTAGATGATTATGTGTTCCTCATCTTAATGTGTATAGTATGTATCTAATATGTAAGATATATAATATATATGTAAATATAAATGGGTAGATAGATGATAGATACAGTGTATGTGTTTCAATCAGCTATTTGTTAAAAGGTAGATGATAGATTAATACTGTGTTGTTTTCATTTCTCTTTTGTTCCACTGCTTTAAAATGGCAGGTGGAGTCCACTATGAATTTTTTCATTGATCAGTTCTGACCTGCTAACCTCAGCAACTGAGCACCTGCATAATGTGTTAGGTCATCATATTAATAATGAAGATTACATAGTTGATCTGCCTTTTTATGGGGATAATATATAAATAAAACCTTAGAAATATGACTGATTTTAAAACAAACTAAAGGGATGACTGAGAACAGTAATGCCATCTATAATTTCATTACATCTAGTAGAAAATTAGTTTTGCAAAGCCACTCAATATATAAAATTGTTTTGATTATTCTTTATTTTCAAAATGAAGTTCTCAAATTTAATCTCAATACAAAATCTCTTGATTACAGCAAAGCAGGTTTTTATCTGTCAGTAAGTTAAAAAAAAAAATGAGGAGGAAAAGCAAGCATCAACATCCTGGGGTCTAATAACTTCCTAACTTCATGGGATTTGCCTAATAGTAGATGGACTTTTCATTTAAAAACTTTGCCCTTGGTAGTCAACACTACCCTCAACACAGCTACAGACTATATAACATAGAGTCTGCATAATACAAGGCATTTCTGTATGAGTAAAGTATTAAATACTTTTTAAAATAATTTTTAAGAAATGAAGTTCTGGCTTAAGACCTGAATAAAGGGTTTTAGGGAAATAAAAACTTTGTTATTTTTCTAAATTTTAGGCTTTTCCATTATGGTAAGTTAAATTGATCTGTTTAATAAAGTAGTTTAAGATAGTAATGTATATGTGCTAACAGACCTCCATCTCTGCCTCAGCTGTAAGATTTACCCAGTTTTTATACTCTGAAGAGTTTATATTTAAATTCAACATAATAACTTTCAAAATAAGAATCTCTGAACTTAATTTTATTTTAGACTGCTTATGACAAAATCACTTCTTAAAGTGCACAGATGCACACATCTGCCCTCTTATCCTTTGTGATAGAAAAAATGAATTACTTAGCTTGGTAAATCACATTGCTTCTCCTGAAGTAGACTGCCTGCACCCAGTGCTGTGAAAGAAAGCTGAGTGAGTGAGTAAGGAAGGGTGGCTATTGTTTAGTACTCTATAGCAAAAGAACGGGATTGGGGGTGGGGTGGCGTTGGGGCCAGGATTGAGTTTAACTGGCATTGGCTCTTGCTTTTCTGCATTCCAAACTGTCTGAGGCACGGGGTGAGAGCAAAAAGGGAAAGAGCAGGAAAGCGAGCACAGGCGAGTACAGTATACAAAGTGTTTTGAGTTTCTGACTGGCTGGCTGGAAAGATCATGTTAGCACTCCCAGAAACTTCACAGGATGCAGACCCCAGGTAAGAATTCCTAGACTCTGAGACTGAAATGAAAAGTCATGTATTTAAGGGAAATGTGTTTTTTTAAAAATTACACAACTACAATGACTATTTACCTTTGTGATTATTGGCTTTTAAAAAAAAAATAGGTTGGTTTTTATTACTGTGAGTTCACAGAAATACTTTGTGGAAGCTATCTGTTAGCATTCCAGTAGAAAATCCAGCACAAGAATAACCATCTGAGAAACTCAGATTAATTAAAAGAATAATGACCATAGCAAAATTATTAACACTGCAGCATTTACTTTTTCTGTCAATAATATGAAATGGATCCTTATTCTGGATCTTTCCTGAAATTCTTTATGAAATATAAAGATACCTGGGAACAGGTAAAGCTCATTTCTCTCTGAGTGAGACAGAGTATATTGACCATCAACAAGATGTTAACAGCCTTGCTTGAATCTCAGTAACACATAATCAATCTGTGTCATTCAAAAGTTCAACAGGTTTGATCCATAGACAACAGTAAGAGCATTCAAATGAGAACTTTGCTTGTTATTTTTGCCCAAGGTAGGCTTTTAATATCCTCTGCCAAGATGACAAGTAAGAAAATTTATTGACTTATTGAAAGTTAAATCTGAAAGAGACTTGGAGATGATCTAGTGTAGTCTCTCCATTTTCAATGAAAATGTTGTGGTCTAAGGTACTTGCCCAAGGTCAGAATTAGGAACAGAATTGAAATGAAAACCTACATCTCCTTATTCTCTGTTTTACATGTTTTTCATAGAACCAATTATATTTAGGGTTATATCTTATCTATACTACATCTGCTAGCCCCAACTACAATGAATTATTGCCTAAATAGACCATGTCCATCATAAACCTAGATTGAAATCATATGGGGAGGAGATATTGAGGAATGGATGTCATCAAATCACTGTTGATACATGCTCTTGACCAAAACCAAAAATATCCTCTAACAAAATATTTAGCTCACTAGAATAATGAGTAACAAAATATTTATAATCAAGAGGAAAAAATGGCTTTCAGTCAAGGAAAATGATTATAGTTTCTATGCTGCTTTTATGTAAAGAATTACGTGGCTGTGGCATATTCTGAATTACAAAACTCAAATTGATTTTAACTTTGAAAAGACTTTAGAACTTATCAGTTTTCTGCATAAATATGTTAGTAAACTTTTTCTGTATGTAAATATCTATTTTTGTAACGTACCTATTTTACTGAAAGCAAATTATATTTGCTGCCTTTCTTACATTTACTCAAATAAAAATATGAGGTAACTTTTTAAAAATTATCTAGCTATTTTGACCAATTGCTTTCTTATCCAAGGTCCAGTTCTGTTTCTCTCAGCTTTGTTATAAGGATCCTCTGTCACTTCGCCTCATGAATTATGTGTTAGAGGATATTTAAGTGAAGGATCTTGAGAGCTACAACAGACAGTGAACATCTGTCTTCATACATTTTCATTTAGTTCCTAAAAAGTTGCTGCCCTTTCCATTTTTCTGGAGACCATTGTGGGGATGAGAGGCCACACTATTCTAGTGAGTTAAATAGTAAAGATAGCCACTGTCAACAGAATCTGTTATGGCTCTTTACAGCTCCTGGGAACAAGTTAGCTTGATTTGGCTATAAGCACAGTAAAGGGATGTTGTCCTTTTGTATTAAAGCCTGACCTGCTCATTCCAGTTTTTGGCTGGGTCTGTGTAAGTGCAACACTGATTTACAAGTCTGTGTGGGATGGGGAGTAAGTTGTAAGGAATAGTTTCATTACTCCTCTCAGCTATATCGGAAACCAAATTACAAAGTGAATTCTCCACCCACTGGGAAAGAAGAGACTGTTTGTCTTACTGGAGAATCATTATTGAAGCACACTGTTTTTAAGAGGACTGATGGCTGTGAGAATGAGGGCATAATGCTCTGTCCAACTTAACAGTATTACACGAAGTGTAGATTCTTCTCTCAGCTTTTATCCTGCTTTGAATATATGAAAGGACTGCCATGATATATCTGTGTATATTATGTTGTGTATGTATATTATATGATAGAAAGAATGAAAGAGTAAAATGGGCCTTTGGCCTGATTATGTTTCCTGATGCCAGAAATAATCAGAAGTCATTAATCTATTGCTGGTATTTTGCTAAATTAAAATAAACTATTTTATTAACCAAGCTAATCATTATAAAACTCACTACCATGCACTACAAAGAGAAAAATACTAAAAAGAAACACACTTTTTTCTTCTGAAATCAAATGTCAGATTATGCAGGTTCATTCTTTCCGTGTTAGAAAAAGACAATAAAAAGGTGCCCACTTTGTGGCTAAAGACAAATTTTATTTTTAAACAAGTTTTTACTGATGTATAATACATGTGTATAGTTATGGGGTTCATGTGATAATTTAATATGCTTATACAATTTGTAAAGATCTAATCAGTATACTTGGGATACCCATCACCTTAAATAAAGACAAGTTTTAACTGGGAATAGAGTGGGTAGAGTGAAATGAGTGACATGAAAAAGAAACTCTCATATGTATGTGAAATAATTTTCTTTTGACCAGTGTATTCTTAAAGGCAGACCTATTTTCACTATTCATGATTTCCTCCTTGATACTGTTTAAAAATTTTTTCCCATGAACAATCTATGTAAACATTGTTTGTGTATTAAATTTTCAAAGAAGGTAAAGAGCTCCGCTATATAGCGACAACATTTTCTGAAAAAGATTTGGCTATAGTTGATCAAAACTTTTGACTCATTCAAAGGAGCTGCTCTCTTTGTTGTTGCGATTTCTTTCTATCTTTTGGGCATAATTCTGTGTTATGTATCCCAGTTAAATCCCAAGAATGAAATATCTTCAAACAAAAATGAAGGCAATAGATAGGGGCCAGGGATAGGGACTTGAAGCTGGACCTGTAAATTGTTCTGTCAAATTAATTATTTACTCATGAAAGTTACCCAGTTATCTACCCAAGACTCTGAGAATCCTTTTATGTAGACAACATGCTTGTGTTTCCCCTTCTGCTCCAGTCTTGACCTTCAGCAGTCTCTAAAGAGGAAGTGTTCGTTACACTTTTGTTCTCTTCTGTTCTTTCACGCTCCCTAGTGGTTGTTCATTGTTGTTCTTGTTTTCACTTCCCTGTATATCAGTTTTAGTGAGAAGCAGGTGACTATTGTATTGTGAAATAGGGTTCACTGGATTCTTACATTTGAGTTGCATAAGCTTTCTTAAAATATGTGATTCTTCTGTGCAGAAACAGAAGCAAAAATTTTTGTCCTGTTGTTCCTAGTGGACAATGATTCGAGAAAATGAGTCATGACTCAGTGATATGAATTCTCTTTTAGCTGTGGTTATTTTTAAGTGCTGATGGGAATTCCATCTATCAAAATTCCACATTTAATTCTGGGTATGATCTCAGCTTGTGTTTGGGAGCCTTAAGCGTTGCCACTCAGAATACTTTCTTTGTACATACTTGACAAGTAAGAGAGACTTACTGAGTCAGTGATTAAAATTCAGATGAAGGCCTTTGTCCTCTCTGGTACTCTTCTTGCCCCTACTCAAACTGTGTCATTAAGCTGAATTGTAAGTACTATTAACTCAGGCACATGAAGAGGGAACCAATGAGGAGATCCTGTTAACAATATGATCCTGTTAATAATATGACTCTATAGAACTCCACATTTTTGTCATTCTCAAGTTTGCAGTATTTTTTGAGTAAATGAGTTGCTAAAAAGCACCTTGAAAAATTAGTTTAGGTTTGTGCAGCCCTGCTCTTTGAAGAAGAAAATATATCTGGTTCTGCTCGCTCTTTCTAATGTCAAATCTTGGAAAGTAAGCAACTTGAGCTGCTGGAATAAAGCAGGTGTCATTCAGGATTAAGTGTTGCCTAGGATAGCCAGCCTGTTGGACAGGTTGCTGACTGATGTCCAGAATCCAATTCCAGAGATTACGGAGTACGTTGAAAAATGTTATAACAGCACTGTTGTGTAACTATTCACAAATACTACTTTTAGTTTATATGAA